TTTTCCACCAATCCAGGTGAGGCAGTCTCTAAACTGAACTTGTGTGTGGACCTGATAATGGACAGAATGAGGGTTAATAAACTGAAACTCAATCCGGACAAGGCGGAAGTGCTGTTAGTGGGTGCTTCACCGGACAGGTTGGAGGGCCATTTCCCTGCCCTGAATGGAATTGCATTCCCCCTAAGGGACAGGGTCTGCAGCTTGGGGGTGCTCCTGGACCCCAGTCTAACACTGGAAGCCCAGGTGGACTCGGTGGCCAGGGGCGCCTTCCTTCAGCTGTGGAAATTATACCAGCTACGGCCCTACCTGGACGAGCAGAGTCTCATGACTGTTACGCATGCACTGGTAACATCCTATATAGATTACTGCAATGTGCTGTACATGGGACTGCCTTTGAAGACAGTCCGGCGACTGCAACCAGTTCAGAATTGAGCTGTGTGGCTGGTGAGTGGTGGAGCCGCTAGGGAACACATCAGGCTGATTTTGTTCAAATGACATTGGCTACCAGTTGCTGCCCAGGCCCAATTCAAAGTGCTTGTTTTGACGTATAAAGCCCTAAATGGCTTGGGCCCTGGATATCTGAAGGACCGCCTCCTTCCATATAAACCTACCTGGCAGTTAAGATCTAGCCAGGGGGCTCTTTTGAAAGAGCCGTCCCTCAAGGAGGTAAGAGGGATGGCTTGTAGACAAAGGGCCTTTTCAGCAGCCACTCCTAAACTATGTAATGCCATCCCAAGTGAGATTCGTCTGGTGCTGACGTTGATCACATTTCGGCGTCAGGTCAAAACCTTCCTGTTCTATGAGATTTTTAATTGAAATAATATTCCTGATAGCAATTTTTAGAGTACTATATTTTTAATTGTATTTTAATTGTTTTATCTTTTTATTGTATTAAAATCGTTGTAAACCGTCCAGTAAGTAAGTACGTAAGTAAGTAAGTAAGTAAGTAAGTAAAAGAGTCTATAAACAAGGAAATAATTGTTATTTTAATTAAGTATTATTCTGTTATGCTAGTTTGAATGCATTGAAATAAGAAAAATATATTTTTTAAAAAACCTATTCTTCTTGTATGGCATATTTTCCAGCCTTGAAAAGAAAATGAACCGGGAAGACTAGGTGAAGGCTGATCATAAGACTGACAGATTGCTTTTTTTCTCTTTCTTTTTCTCTTCAGCAATATCAAACCAGTGTATTCCTTTGCCATGCAATGAAGATGGTTATAAAGAATGCAGAGATGGACAAGCCAGATTTACATGTATTTGCAAGCCTGGGTGGCAAGGAGAAAAATGTGAAGAAGGTACAGTTTGTGATGGAGCCATTGTCATCTTTTCCTTTGCTGGCTCACTTTTAAACACATTTATATATAAACTCTGTGATTGTTCATGGACTGGAAGGAATCAGATCTTGGTTATCATTCTATTTTCATATTCTTTTCTTCATAGATATAAATGAATGTGAAGACCCAGCTAATAGAAATGGAGGGTGTAGTCAAACTTGTATTAACTTTCCTGGAAGCTACCGCTGTCAGTGTGAAGATGGTTATTACATACAGCCAAATAAATTGGACTGCAAAGGTAAGAAAAAAGACAAAAAGACAAATGCCAGTACCAAATAACACAAAAATTCATCTCGTGCAATAGGATTAAAATGCCAAATTGTTAGTTCCAGTGCCATTGTCTACGCAGATAATTCACTGTGCTTAATTCAAAACCTCAGGACAGTATAGTTTTTATACATACAATGACAGGATAAGATTCATTGCAGAAGACAATACAGTGGTGCCCCGCGATTGCAAAACGATGTTTCCTATGGGTTTTTTTGGTTTAACGACGATTAGGTCCCTCCTTTGCGAACCGATTGTTCGCAAGACAACGATTTAAAACAGCTGATTGGCGGTTCGCAAAATGGTTCCCCGCTGTTTTCCAGACCTATTTCTGCAAGACAGGGGTCGCAAAATGGCCTCCCTATGGAGGATCTTTGCTGCACGATCAGGTATTTCCCCCATTGGAACACGTTAACCGGTTTTCAATGCATTCCAATGGGGTTTTTATTTTCGCATGACGATGATTTCGCTGTACAGCGATTTTAACAGAACACATTATCGTTGTCATGCACCACTGTAATGTTGTAAAGGCAGTTGAAGGCAGCAGGAAAAGAGGAAAGCCGAATATGACTGGGGTTGACTCAACCAAAGAAGCCATGGCCTTTAGTTGGTGGGACTTGAGTGGGCCTGTTAAGGACAGCACGTTTTGGATGGAATTAATTCACAGCGCCAAAATATGCTAGAAACAACTTGTCTGCACATAACAACAACAAATTTTATTTGCTAATTTGAGGGGAAGTGGGGGAAAGGGGAACATTTTAGCAGATCATACCCTGTCATAATCCATCCACTACCCAGTTAATAAATGTAGTCTAGAATAGATTCAGCGGTAAAGGCCAGGGAAAGATGCTAAATGAATGCCTACTGTGACCCATGTGCTTGCACAGCACCATCTGTCTAATTTATTACTGAACCACCCACCCCATGCAGGGCTCTGGAGGGTGGTGATAGTACTAATTAAAAGAAAGTGGGGAGTGTGTGTTCGTTTCCAACTCAAAGGGGTGGGGGAATCTTGCTTAGGCTTACCACACAAGAGGAACTATACCACCTGAGCAACCACCCCCGGGATACATAATAGTGTCAAAATGTGTACATTGATATCCTTCCTCCTTTAAAACTGCATGTTCACATGACTTCTAAAAATAAGCAAAACATCCATATCCTGTTTACCTTCTTGCGGTTGTATGACGTATCTTCCATGTGAGCACCTTTTGCATGATCCACGGGAAATTGAGTACATGTAGTGCTTTCTCAACTTTCCAGTTTTCTCCAAAGGTCACGTTTGCCTTATAATCAAGTGTGATGGGACATCTGCCGCTGAGATGGAAAAATCAGTCCTTCTTATTTGTGGGGACTTAATATACATTGTGTATCTGCAGACAGGAATGAATGCATGTTATACCAGAACATTTGTGGGACAGCACAATGCAAGAATACTCCTGGAAAGTATGAGTGTGAATGTCCAGCAGGTTATGCCTATAACATAACAGGAAAGAAATGTGAAGGTACAAATTTTGGTTTTCCTTTTTTTAAAGATAGTGTATTAAGGTTACAATAAGTTACCATTCTTAGAGTGTTCATCATTTCATTATTTTCTGTTTTATTTTATGTTCACTTCAGGTGAAGGGCATGTGTTCTGACACAGTCACTGTGTTACTTATATGTGCTTTCTTTACTTTCTGCCTTCTAATACAGAAATGCTTTTTTAAGTATAATTATACCACTTTTTTATATCCAAAACTTTCATGAAGTCGAAATGGATTTTTGTATATATGGAACAGATTTTTGCTTTACGACGATCAGCAAACAGCTGATTGTCCAGTTTCAAAATGGCCACCGGCTGAAGAAAATGCCCCCCCGCTGTTTTTAGGACAGATTTTTCGCTTAATAGGCACCAGAAAATGGCCACTGTATGGACGAGCAAGTATTCAGCCCATTGGAACGCACTGAACTGTTTTCAATGTGTTTCAATGGTTTTTTTTATTTTGTTCGACAACATTTTCGTTACTACAGCGATTTCGCTGGAACGAATTAACATCGTCAAGCGACGCACCACTGTATATGTTATGCAGTAACATAGGCCTTTCATAACTACAGCAGGGGAGGAACTGCCTCTCTTTAGATTCTGGGGCTGAGTTGCCCCCCTCTTCTGCTCAGCCCAAGAACACAATCTATATGTGAAGCAATGGTCACAACCCATTAACATTTCTTGCTACCAAGGATGGAGACCCAACCTGCAGAACTTGCTGTCAAGTCATACTCAAGTCGCACTGGTGACTCGACTCAGACTCAGTTTCAGAGGGTTGTTTTTGCACTGACTTGGACTCGACTGATGACTCGGAACCCAGCCATCAAATTGACTGTATTTGAATAAATCCCCTGAAATGTGTTCTTAGAGCAAAAATTAATATAAGACCCTGTCTTATTTTCAGGGAAACATGGTAGTAAAATGTTGCAGCCAGCCCTACTTTCCACTGTTGTTAGTTCTTCACAATCACCCTTCCCTCAAGAGGTTCAAGTTGCCCTTTCGTTTCACAACTATGAGGACTAGGTTAGACTTAGAGAACATTACTACAGTACTCTGTTTTCCTCTCCAGGCAAGGACCATGTTCATCTTTGAGTCTTTTTTTAAAAAAGTGTTTTATGAGACCTTTCGATATGATTTTGAGATTACGTTTAAGTTCTGTTTCAGACATTTGATTTTTATTTTATTTTATTTTTTGTAAATTCTACACATGGAGGACCCAGTGGTGTACTTCTAATTGCACTGTTACCACCAGAATCTGTGCTACTGCTACTTCCTACATCTCCCAGCACGTCTTAAAAACCTGTTCTAGAAAGCTGGGAAATCCCTGTAGCAGGAATGAGAAACAATGTCCTAATTCCTCTGACATTCAATACCCAAGGAGAGCATTAGATCTTGGCCTTTATTGATGAGGTGCACTAAAAAGGATCTTGAAAGATTGTATATAAATTCCTTAATAACTACATACCTCATACTCATCAAAAATACTAGCTGAGCTCTATAGACAAGCAGGAAGTGGTCCTACCTTTTCCATATCCTGGTCCAAGACAGAGATTACCTTTCAGATGTCTCAGAACATGTTACTGACCTGATTTTTTAAGGCAACTCCATACTTCAGTTGTGGTTGACGCAAATATATCAACGCATATTACCTGCTTCTATCATTATACCTGTTACACTTTTTTCCTACTGTTTTGTGGTGAACACACATTGCAGTAGTTCATATAGTATTCTGCTGTGTTAAGTAGTTGTTTTGTTGTCAAAGGATTATTTAATTATATGCAGTTTAAAAGTCACTGAAAAATTAAGCTTTCAGAGTCAGACAGAAAAGATAAAGGCCTAAGTTTATTTGTATGTATAGCAACATGTATAATTTTTTTTTGAAAAGTGTTATTTTAGGGGCAGTCTTCATAATATAATCTGTGCTTGTACTCATCCCAGAAGGATCTTCTCAGTCTGTTAGTGTCTGTTTAGTCACAGAGAAGGCATGTTACTAATGCTGCTTTTCACACAGCCCGGCTCTTCTGAATTATTTATTGTGCTTAGCCAACAAAGCACGAAACATAGTTTCAGTCAGTCAAGATAAAATTGTTTTTCCTTAGTCGGCCCACAAATTCTTTCTGAATGATAGCTTACCAAGACCCCCTGGGCTTTAGGGTTTCGCACGCACACACGAACATACAGTCTCACAAACACAGGCACACTTATCTCCCAGTGCAGTCATCTTGAAGTGATTTTTGCTGTTTAGAGGCACAATGGATGCTTGAATGTTTGAGCATGTGATAAAGAGTACCCTAGGATACAACCTTTAAAAATACTGCAATTCATTCATTATCAACTAGGAAAATACAGTACTACAGGCTAAGACACATTGGTTTGTCCTTTCTTGTACAACTTTCTGGCTTTGCAGAAGTGTCTGAATAGGTTTCCTAGAAGCTCAAACATGGATATAACTGCAGTATTCTAGGTTGGGAAACATTCTTTTGAATTACTGTGAGTGAGATGCAATCTATATTCAGCCATAGAAGTGTTAAGCTTGTTTGTGTTTTTTCACATTAAAGTGGCTAAGTGAAAAAGAGGGAAAGGCTCTTTGTACACAAAGGCTGGAATCCTGTTGCTTGGTCACAACTAGAGTATGCTCACTGAATTCGTGAAACTTATGGAGGAGTTGACTCACCACAATCCCACTGATTCAAGGGGTCAGCTCTACTTACAACTAATGACAATGAATTATCAGGCCTTGTAATAGCATCAACAAGAAGAATGGGTGTAAAATATGTGTTGAATAGGTGTGCATAATATCTGACCCACCAAAGTCCACTGGCCATGTATGATTTCCCACCAAAGGGTTCAATAAACTGCTTGTTTCTCTCTCTAATCACCTAAGATTGTGTGTGCAAACAATTTCTAAACCACAAACCATTAGTGAGCTGTGTTTCTTGTGACTCAAAACTGAGAAAAATATTTTTGGACTACAACCCCCAGAATCCTCCAGCCAGCATGCTTAATTGGTTATATGTTGTCCAGTTCTGCCAGATGTCTTACATGCATGGGCGGCATCCGAATCAGGATGTTGGCATACCTCATCCCCTCATTTCAGGTGGGTTGCCCCCCTTGACGTGTCCTGAGTCCCCTATGCTTGTGTAACAATGCATGTCTAAATATTAATGCCACTTAAATACTAATGTGATTCCAAAGAGTTCTGCCAGTGTGACCAGTTGGTGCAAAAGAAGCCTTGTGGCACAGTGATTAAACTGCAGCACTGCAGCCAAAACTCTGCTTATATTCTGGGTTCAGTCCCAGGTGGTCAGCTCGAGGTTCACTCAGCCTTCCATGTCTCCAGGGTTGGTAAATTGAGTGCCTAGTTTGTTGGGGTTGGGGGGCAATGTGTAGCCTACACACTTCAAGTGTAGATCACCCAGAGAGTGCTTTAAGCACTGTGAGGCGGTATATAAGCGACATACTTTTACGAAAGTCAGGATGCCCTTTCTCATTTCACTGCAGATGTGGACGAATGCGCTGAAAATGCTTGTTCTCAAATATGTATCAACTCTCCAGGAAGCTACACCTGCTATTGTGATGGCAAAAAAGGCTTTCAGCTGTCCAGTGACATGAGAACGTGTGAGGTAAAGCATCACAGCTATCAGTACCTTATTTTTCTTGGTAAAAGTGGAGCATTTAATGTCCTTTCCCAGCTGAGTTGGAAACAGTGCTGTCTCCACCATATGGCAGGATGAAGTAGCAGCCTCAGGCAGGAGATTTTCAGTGCCCTGAAGGGCCAGCAGATAGTTGGGGTTTCACCTGTTGTAAATTCACTGCCAAGGAAGGATAAAGTGTGTAAGGTATTTTCTACCCCACGTGCCTACATGCATTGTAAGTACTCTGGCCGGATTCCAACTGAACACTTACCTAGCATTGAGTCAGTCAATGTACAATTCAGTGACAAATTGCCACTCATTACATAACATAAGAACCTAAGAAGAGCCCTGCTGGATCAGGCCAAGGGCCCATCTGGTCCAGCTCCCTGTATCTCACAGTGGCCCCCACCAGATGCCTCTGGGAGCACACGAGACAACTAGATACCTGTCTCCTGATACCCCCTCCCCTCCATCTGGCATTTTGAAGTACCTTCCTTTTAAACTTGGAGATTATACATCCCCATCAAGGAATCTCCAGGAATCTGTCCAATCCCCTTTTAAAGGCCAGATGCCATCACCACATCCTGTGGTAGGGTAAGGAAATGTTTTTTTTTGTCTGTTCTCACTCCCCCAACACTCAATTTGAGTGGATGTCCCCTTGTTCTAGTATTGCGTGAGAGGGAAAATAGCTTCCCTCTATCCACTTTGTCCATCCCCTGCATAATTTTTACCAAGAAAGGGGTTTTTATTTCCTGTTGTGCCCCAAGGTAAGTGACCACTGCATGACAGGAAATGCAGCCCTGACTTTTTAACTAGTGGGAATTTGCCACCACTTATCCTGGTGGGTATATGTAGTAGATTATGGTCTATGGACCTGCCTTAAGTGAGAGTGCGGTGCCATTCACAGCTGCCTCAGGAAATAAAATGTCAATAAAACACATGTAATACAGCCATAGTGTATGTTATATGCCCCACGTCCATCTTCACAAAACCTCGTAAAGCAGGCTATTTGAGAGATGCTTACTGGCCCACAAAACACTGAACAAACTTTTTAGGCTGACAGTTTACCCGTGGGACATTCTCCAGTCCTATTTGAATACTCTGACCACTAGTCGGCGTTAGCTCACAAGCGGATTGCACTTCATACCGGCCTCTTGCATCCCTTCTTTCTGCATTTCCTTTCCTAAGGCCTAGCTAACTGACTATAGGGTGGTACATCTCCAAGAAAGAAACAGGAGGCAAGGTGTGGGATTTCCAATGTACTTCTCTCCTGTGAAGAAATGGAAGAAGCTGCTGCAGAAGGAAGGAAAGGTCCCAGGATCACCCATTTTGTGAGGGAAAGAAAAGATATCCACTTCAGGAAAATGTTTATACCTATAAAGAGGAAAGAGAGCCCCCAGATTCTCCCGAAACCTCCTTAAAACTTTTCCCCTACCTTTTTTGATTCTTCCACTCCGAAGTTCATCTTACTGTAACACTTTTAATGTGAGTGAGAGGGTGAGCATAAAACATTTCCAAGTCTCATCATTGCCTTCGCTCAAGCACGTTGTAAAGTTTGAACCTAGTCCTTTTTGGCACACATCCATTGTGAGTAGAGATATAGTAGAGGAACAAAACAAATAACTGGGTACGCCATGGGAGGTAATGTCTGTCGTAACATTTGCAACTTTTTAACAAACTATTACCTGTTTCCAGCTGTGGTATTCAAATTTGCCCTAGCTTAGCATTGTTGTTAGATTCGGAGACTGAATTTATACTACCCAATATTTTCTAGGATTCAAGTCATCCCATCTTTCACGTGAAGCTCTGCATTTTCAAAATGTTATAATTATCTCACTACAAATGAAAACTTCTTAAAGGGTATAATAAGCAGGCAAATTAATGCAGTTATACACTTCTAGCTGCCAAAACTATGAGGCTTGTATAGGATTCCAAGGAAAACATTTCTCTATGAATGAATGCCTTCTTTTATTCTTCTTTGGCAAGGCTGGGCATGTTGAAGTGTATTCACATCATTCCAGATTAAAACAAGCTTTGACACACTTCAGTGTAATGGGGCTTAAAGAGTTCACAGATCAAAGGTTCCTATTGTGCTTGGATATACTTAGGAGAACCTGGTGAATGGTAGCTAAATGTGATTTAATAATTAGGCAAACTGGGCGATAATTCAATTCTGTAAAGATAATGAAAGCCACAAGCAAGCCATTTATCTTCCAAGTAAATCTTCCTAGAAGATTTCAGCGTCAGGAATTTGGTAACAGAAAACTAGGCAGAATCAACAGAAATCTCAACTAGTACATAGAAACCATTTTCAAATCTAATGTATGAAAAACTGGTTGCCAGAAGCATGATTATCCTTCAACCCAAGTTCTTATGTGAGAAATCTGTATCTTCACATACAGCTATATTGCTGTTATATTCATGAACAAAAGTAACCCTTAAAAGAGAAGATATGGATAACCAAACACATATCTTGGTCATAATATGGTTCTAATTAGCCCTGCCAATTAGGGTGTGGCCACACAGGGAAACAGTTCACAATTTGGAGCACTGCTGTGGTTTATTTCACAGTGATCACATGACGTGTGGGAAAATATGCTCCAGCATAACCCCTATCGTTGCCCAGGCTAGACCTTTTTGGTCCTGCTGCAAGGTTTCTGCTGTGGTTTATTTCACAGTGATCACATGACATGTGGGAAAAATATGCTCCAGCACAACCCCTATTGTTGCCCAGGCTGGACCTTTTTGGTGCTGCTGCAAGGTTTCTATCGCTTTGGGGTGAAACCCATATTGCATCAACTGTTTCTACAGCCAGCAATTGTAAAATATGTGACAATCCCACTACATATGAATAAGATCTGTAAACGTCACGTTTCACTTCCAAGATATAAATTGTGTTACAAAATGCAATTTAGCAAGCCTGGCAGCTGCCACATATCAGCAAAATAATTTACATTGTGCTTCCACATTGATGGACTTTGCGATATCCTCCCACCTGATATAATTTCCCATTTTTGTATTAAATTGTTACTGTAGCTTAAATTTGTGTTTCTTCCAAATGTCTGATGAGTCTATAATCTTTCTCATTAAACAAGGTGATAACTACTTCCCAATATACTAACTTTCTAAGTGACTAAAGGGGGGAGCTATGACTTCTGAAAACAATATCCTGACATTTGAATGATATCTTCTCTGGTTAATGTATGACCTTTTACATTCAGCCTTTTGATGGGTATTTTATCTTTACTACTGATGCTACTGGAGATCCCAGGGCTTACTTTTTTAAAGGAATCGTTCCATTATCATTTTTATTTCCTGCTTGGTCTTCTTTCTCCCTTCCTATCCACAGGAACAACTCAGAGATGATATTAAGATCTAATTGGTTCAATGAACTCTCCCTGCTTTTTGACACTGATAAATATAGCCAACTTTTAAGTTCCCTCATAATCTGAAACACATTTCATTTCTGCTGGTCCTCCTTTTTTTAAATCACAGCTTGCATAATATTAACTTAAATTATAGGCTGTTTGTCATAACATGTAAAGTTATCCAAAATTCTCTGCCAGCTTTTAAATTTTTAGTCATCAAAAAACAAGGACAGTGCTATAGAAAACAACAGCAACAAACCTGTAGAAAGACTTTCCCATCTTTATTTGTGGGGATGAAAGTGAACCAAAATAGTTTCAGTCTTTGCTATCTCTCTATATCCAATTTAACTTTTCAAAGTATTCATTTTACCTCCGGGTTATTTGCTTAGGGCTTGCCCATCTTCAGTGAAGTGGGATTCATCATAACTTGGCATGTTAATTGTAATATATACTGGCTTTTGTTTGTTGAGCTCTGTCACAGAGCCCTGTGCATGCATCTCTCTTGTGAGACAAGCAATGCCAGGCAGTGGTGCAATTAAACTCTAGTCTAGCCATAGAAATGCAAGAAGCACCTCATCCTCTACCATTTTTGATAAGAGAAGGGGGAACAGCTAGCTGAGCTTGCAGACACCGATAGAATTAATCGACACATTTTTGCCTTTTCTTCTTCAAAGTAGATTTTAGAAAGTCATTTGTAAACAATCGGGGAGGTTAAAAAAACCTACAACATACCCTGTAGTGCTTTGGGAGTTATAGTCCACGTTGTGTCCACTTTTCAGTGGAACTGAGATTGTGATGTGCTGAACTATCCATAACTGGGCAGCTGAACCATCCATAACTTCCCACACTGTTCTTCAAGCAGTATATGCAGTTGTGGGGGAGAAAAACACTGCTGACATGATGTCAAACCTCTAGGCAAGTTGGAGATGTTACCTTAAGACATTTCTACAGTATGTAATGAGCAGGTATCACTCAGTGGGTTGGAGAATGTAGGTGCAGAGCTGGGAATCAAGAGTTCAAGGGTGAGCCAAGATCACCAGAAGCACATGTGGCTGATAGGTTTACATGTACAGCCTTTGGCATTGCCAGGAGCCACTGGTATACCACTTTGTGAGTACAGTACTTTATACTCAGAAAACCTTGGGAAGGTTGCCATAATTTGCAGTCCACTTCACAGCACATACCTATTATTGTGATTACAGCAGTACTGTGGTGTCCAATTCAAAGCCCACGCCCCTCACAGATGCTGGAAATTGCAGATAAGTAAACCCTATATATATATAGCATAGTATGTGGTTCCCTCTGGTGGCCAGTTCTGGTGATACATCTTAGAAAGATGCATTTCTGATTTTTTTATACAGTATATTTTTTCAGGTAGTGAATAAGTGAAATAGTTACGGATTTTATGGATATGACAGTCCTACTGTTTTTCTATTTAAGCAGCCAACCTCCAATATTCAAATTATAGGGGAGATAATACTGTAGACTGAATATCTACTTAAACGAACACAGAATAATCAATAGTCTTGATCAATATCATTTGTGTAAATTATTTTTTGAATTACTACCAGGTTACAGGGATCCTTTTTTATACTTAGAAGACAAACCTTTTAATAAATTACCAGAGTTTATAAAAAACCCTTGTTACATTCACATTTTTGGTACATTTTTACAGCCATATACCTTTTTATACACTACGTTCTCTAATACAGTGTTCCCCAACCTTGGGCCTCCAGATGTTCTTGGACTTCAACTCCCAGAAATCCTGGCCAGCAGAGGTGGTGGTGAAGGCTTCTTGGAGCTGTAGGCCAATAACATCTGGAGGCCCAAGGTTGTGGACCACTGCTCTAATATGTATGCTGTTGTATGGATCTGTGTTAAGGAAACAGCATATTAAAATTCAATGAGGAGACTGAAAGATAACTGCCATTTAGCTCAATTAACATGTGTGGGAAGTGGAATTAGGTTTGTTTGCATCAAAACACAGACTAGCTGTATATATCTCAATTTTTGTCTGAAGCGGCATCGTGTATGCTATTTTCCAGTTTTTTTTCCCATGAGGTAGTAATAAATTGGAACCATTTTATTCAGAGGAATCTTAACTGCATGAGACAGCCAATGTTGATTAATCAAGCTGCTGAGGTCTAGTTTATCCAACAAATTTTGGCTTAAGATATATCTTTCAGCCTTCAGTCACCTCATTTTCACAGCAGGGTGATCAAACAGAAGGGGAAATAATTGTTTCAGTCCATCTGTAGTGAGGTTCAAAGGACTGCTGGTACATTCCCTCAGTCCCAGCCATAGTGAAGGGCAAATTGAATTGTCATGAGTGCCAGAATTTTCTGATAATATCACACATGGGTATCATGTATTTACCCTTCCCTGGGAAGGATGGCTGGAGCAGTTGTCCAGAGTTAAGGTGGCTTGGCTGAGCAGCAGTGATAGGGCCATTTAAAGAACCTATGGAGGAAGCTTGAGAACAAGACAAGATGCACTAGAAACCGGAACAAGAACATAACAGAATATGAAGGAGCGACATAATGCTTTACCAGCATAAAAAGGCCAGAGGAGGAAGAAAGCTGGAGAAGATAGGAATTGAGAAGGCAATAGGTAGTACGTCAGGAAATTATCACCTGATCATAATGAGGAGTGAAGAAGTTGACAGCATATTGTCAAAGTTAATGGGGAAAAACAAAAGCAAAGGACAAAATCTTGCAGCACAAAATCCAGTACCTCAGAAACAGCAGAAGTTGATGTCTGCTCTCAGGATTTGGGGGTGGGGGGTGGCAATAAACTCCCCATCATAGTGGGCATAACACAGACTGCTGTTAGGAAAGGAGAATTTATTTTCAGAAACAGAACTGCTTATTTTATTTACGTATGTATTTGGCCACCATTCTATCAACATTTTCTTGGTGCATGACCTCTTGCCAGACAAATTGTTAGCCCTCCACCCAGGATGCTAGGAATTGTAGTTTTAGTCCAGAAAAGCTTTCCAAGCTCTGTGCCCAACATTATTATATCTCACTAGAAGAATGGGGGCAACAGGAATAGTTAAAGGAAGTACTAACAAGACCTCAACTAAATGTCTTGAAATAGCGTCTTCAAGGAGGGAAGTTTTTGCCCCCATCTCACTGTTTGGGAAGCATAGAGACTATCTGTACAGGTATAACCTTTTTGCTATTTGATTTAACCTTATTACCTGGTGTGTTGTAGTGGACAGAGTGAGGGACTAGGACTCAGGAGGCCTGGGTTCAAATCCTTACTCAGCCATGGAAACTCACTGGGGAAGTGGAGCTGGCAAAACTGCTCCTTAAATATATCACTTACCTTGAAGATTCCTATCAGAGTTGCTGTAAGTTTTTTCCAACTTGACAGCACGTTGAAACAACAACAGCATTAAGCAACCAAGTTAGGTAGCCAGTAAGCCAATAAAGGCAACTTCAAATACTTGCCTATTCAGGACCTTCTTCTTTCCAGGCTAACATATGGTGGATTGGATTTTGCACTGGTTCTTCAGTAAGAAAATGACACTAAGCTGTTGGTTAGGAAATAAGCTGCTGAAGCTAACAACAGAAAAATGGATTCAAAACAATTATAATGCATTGCTTCTTCTCCTATTATTTCTAGGCAGTACCAGAATGTCTCCCTTTGAATCTTGAAAAGAATTATGAATTACTCTCTCTGGCAGAGCAATTTATAGGGATCCCTGTTTTGTATTTAAGGTTTAGATTGCCTGAGGTTACAAGGTAAGTAGCATCCATACACATTCAATCCTGTTGTTACCTGTAACTATTGTACTGTGTATCTGTGAAGATTCTCCGTCATCTAGGTGAGGTAATCTGGAAGTTGAGTCATGGCAACTGGATTTCTTCTCCTATGCTCTTTCTGGTGGGTGTGTTCCTGATCTTCCTGCGGAGGGATGAAACGGCAGCATGATAAATAAGAGACAGATTGTCTCCACCCCTGTTGAATGAGGGATTTTCTATATTTTCTATACCACTGTTAACAACTGTTAATGACCCATGACAGTGGGTGGAGAAGGACTGCAGAGGTGGGATTTTCACTTCCCGCCCATCCATTGTCCATCTAACTAACCTATTTAGAGCAGGGAGAAGTAAAACCAACGTGGAGGATATATCAGGCATCTCCTACTAACTCACCTCAGGTTGAAGAAGTTGCTTGGATGAGTAGCGTAACATTTCAACCTAATAAGAAAGAAGTCCAGTTACCATAACTCAACTTCCAGATATTGTACTGTGTCCATAAGTTGCATGATGTTTATAGTTGTTGTAGTTGTAGTTATTGTATTTCACTTCATAACAACAGGATTAATCTGTAAATGTCTCTGTGTCATATTGTCTTTCTCACACAAATCAGATTTTCTGCAGAATTTGATTTCAGGACTTATGATAACGAGGGAGTTATATTGTACGCTGAATCTACTGACAGCACAGCATGGGTTTTACTTGCACTTCGTGATGGGAAGATTGAAATTCAATTCAAGAATGAACTCGCAATGAAAGTAACGAGCGGTGGCAAAGCCATCAACGATGGCTTGTGGCACATGGTGAGCACTCGATGAGTTAGGAACTGCAAACAGCATTCCATACAAAAGAAACCACTGTTAAAGTAACCTGAGAAATTGCAACAGCAACATTAGTATGTCATCCATTTTCACAAAATACTTCCATGTTCTCACAATAGTGAAGTTTAGAGACGAACTCCTCCCCTGGAGCTCTGCGCCTGGGACTCAGGAAAGTTCACACTCATCATGCAGACAGACTTATTTGTTTGGATGTACAATAGGACTACAATATCCACAGGTGTCAGTTCCAAGCCCTCCCGCAGATGCCAAAAACATGGAAGTAGTGAACACTATGCATAGCATTATCTCTGGCCTCCACTAGTGGCTAGCTCTGGTAAATACACCATGGAAATATGTATAAATATGTATTCAGTGGTTTTTTATTTATTAGCAGTTTCAGGCAGCGGATAAGTGAATCCACAGACGCTGATCCAGTAGATAGGTGGATCCTACTGTACCAAGTAAATTTTGTTTTTGGGGACCCTGAATTTTATGAGCTTTTCTTGCATTTTGTTGTATACACAGGGCTTTAGTGCATATAGAGTATGGGGTGGAAGGGACCTAGATTTGCTTCCCTGTTGTCACTTAGAAGTGATCAGAATTGGCAGCCTGACTAATCAGCCATTTGCAAAGCCAAATACAAGTTTACACCATCCAGGGCGTTCAACACAAGGTTTTAGGTCAGTGCAATTAACCTGGTTTTGCTTTAACCATATCACTTTTGGCAAAACAGAATTCATTTTGTGTGCACATTTCCCTTGGTTGTGATAGCTTTCGTTAACATTTTTGTATTTGTCTGTCTATTTTCTTTTAAATATAGATATCTGTGGAAGAATTAGACCACAGCATCAGTGTCAAAATAGCAAAAGAAGCAGTAATGAACATTAATAGCCCAAGAAATCTGTTTAAACAATCCAACGGCTTTCTGGAAGCAAAGGTGTACATTGCAGGGCTGCCTCGCAAAGTGGACAACACTCTTATTAAACCGGTAATTTTTGCACTGTTGAACATGATGTATCAGTCATCATGTTCCCTTGAGTGTAGTGATTAAAAGATAATACAAGATGGTTTTTCCCCTTTGAAAGGGCATTCATGTAGACGTTGAATGGAATAAATCCTATGGTGACAAAAACTTGTCTGTGACAAGTTAAACTTACTGCTTCAGGCAAAAACAAAACAAAAAATAAAGACAAAAATGAAGCACCGTAAAGACAAACTGCTATATTTTAATGTGAGCTTTCATGGACCACTTCTCCAGACTCGTCTATCTCTTCTAAAACGATTGCTTCAGACATATGTTGTCTCTTCAGTAAGAATAGAAGTTAGAGTAGGAACCCTGTATCCGTGGGAGATTGGCTCCAGGCCCTCCCCCCCCCCATGGATGCTGAGAAACACGGATTATAGCGAATACTATTGTAATGATGAATGCTATAAATAGCATGGTTTTTAACTCTTTCTATTGGCCAGTCCCAGTAATAACATTGTGGAAATCTATTTCCCCGTGGGAGATTGGCTCCAGGCCCTCCCCCCCCCCATGGATGCTGAGAAACACGGATTATAGCGAATACTATTGTAATGATGAATGCTATAAATAGCATGGTTTTTTACTCTTTCTATTGGCCAGTCCAAATAATGACATTATGGAAATCTATTTCTCTAGTGAACACTATGCATAGCATGGTCTCTGGCTCTTTCTAGTGGTCATTTCTGGTAATTTCATTATTAGAAATACATATTTATGAGATCATTTCTTTTAGTATTTTTAATATTTTTAGACAGTGGATAAGTGAATCAGCAGATACTGATCTTGCAAATAAGGGGGTCCTACTGTACCTCCTTCTGGAAGAAAAGGGGAGTTAACATTGATCATTTCTGTTGGGGGAGGAAGGCTAGTAAGTGCAGTGGTTAAACTAGTGTACTGCAGCCAAAACTGTGCTCACGACCCGGGGCTCAATCCCAGGTAGCCGGCTCAAGGTTGACTCAGCCTTCTATCCTTCCGAGGTCAGTAAAATGAGTACCCTGCTCGCTGGGGGGGGGGGGCAATGTGTAGCCTGAATCATTAACTTGTAAACCGCCCAGAGAGCGCTTGAAGCGCTGTGAGGCGGTATATAAGCAGCACGCTTTGCTTTTGCTTTGCTTTGGTATACAGCTATTAAAGCAATTCTGCAACAGGTTCATTTTAACTAGCATGTCAAGCCTGGAAGATTTTGCAAGATTTTTCTGAGGTGCGTTTGGTCTTGTCTTTGCCCTGCAGTCATTTGGAAATATATTACAGCAGGAGGAAGCAGATTAAGTATCAAACATCCTAAAGGAAACAGTAGTAAAAAAAAAAGACAATGGGAATCTCTCCTATGTAGAAGGTGACTATTTCTAGTCCTCTTAGAAAGCTGTCCTGCTGTGAAAAATACCATTTTCAGAGTAGATGTCCTGTATGCTTCCTGACTTCTTGAAGAAATATGTTGGCATGGTTTTTAAGAGCAAAGAAAAATAGCCGAGAAGCTTAGTCACAGTTAATCCAACCTGATGTTGTGGCACAAAATCATAAAGAAGATTGGTTTTCCTGCCTATGAGATTACATTGCTTTTTTGAACATCTAAGTCTTGCAAATATGCTGAAGGTTCAAGGATTATCTATACCTGCCTTAAGACTTGTTCAGCCTATGAATAATTTGTTGTAGGACTTCTTCCCAATAACCACTGAATATCTGCTATCTGTGGGAAGGGGCTTTTTTAAAAAAAAAACCTGTGTATACAGTTTCTGAATTTTGATGAATTTTATATGGCATAAGGATTTGTGGACACAAAGACATTATGAAATGGATTGCAGTCAAAAATTGGGGGTCCAAATCCAGTAGCTAATCTCAGCAAGAGTGGTTCTCTTGGCTGAGTGGCTGAAATCCTGTTGTTTAGCACAGTAAGTTGCAACTAAGGTAGGGCCATTGAACCTAGTGGGGATTTGGTAAGTCAACTCCTCCCTAAGTTTTGCTGACTCAAATGGGCTTACCCTAGTTGCAACATACTACTAAGCAGCAGGATTTCAGCCAGTAAGATCTGCTGAAGTGTTGACATAACACTTCCATTTATTCAGCAAGTCTGCTCTAGTTGGGACTAAAATCTGGATAAAATCCAGCAATTTTGAGGTGCTACAGGACTCTGCTATTTTTTCTGCAATAGACTAATGCAAGTGAAACTCCCATCCATACAATGTCTTTTGTATGAATGCTCAGATAATACAGTTAAGCTTTTTATATAGTGTTGCTGAATATAGGATCCCAAAATATGGTGTGTTGTGAAGTAATTTGTTCTGCATTAATTGATCACTTTCCTGGAATGTTGTAGAATGCCAAAAACGGTACTGCAACTTCTTCTGCAGATTAACCCCCGTCTGGATGGGTGCATTCGTGCCTGGAACTTGTTGAATCAAGGAAATTCTGGTGTGAAAGATATCATTCAACAGAAACAAAGCAAGCACTGTTTAATAAGTGTTGGAAGGGGATCTTACTATCCTGGCACTGGAGTGGCAAAGTTTCGTATTAACTACAGTAAGTATTTTTTCCTCACGTTCTCAGACAGTATTCTTTAAACTGGACTAGTTACTTGATTTCAGCAATTGGGGGGAAAAGATGGCAATATTCACTTCAGTGAAGATCGTTCTTCCCAAAGCCAGCTGAAACATCAGAGTGCTTTCTACATAACAATTTGGATGCCTGAGTGCTACCATTACACACTTGAATCGTCCACACACATGATTTATTATTTTCTATGTCCCAACTCTTACTTTGTGTATCCTGTGAAAAAATACCAGATCACATTTTACAATTGCCCTTTTACTAAATTTATGTGTAATAAACAATCTCTTTCTAGGTTATAACTTGTGGAACTGCTTGCCACATGGCTAACCATATACTGTGTCTTCATGACTGCTTGTGGCTGAAAAAGAACATTTCCAATTGTTCCCTAATTATGCTTACTTCTTCATTATTTTTGGAGTTTCACACCTTTTTTTCAATGTCAAAGCATGGTAGGAAAAGCAAATATTAATATTATAAAACCAAAATATTTTCTAAAGGTAAACCAACATGTATTTACGAAAAAAACAAACCCTAATCTTATCCTTTCAACTTTATACAAAATAACTTCCTCTATAATATACAAAAGGCCAGAGATAAGTTGGCCTTCAACAGGAAGCCGCTCCATAACCTTACAACTACTTGTTCTGTTAGCCTTGATGTTCAATCTAATTTGACACAGAATTGTCATCACTTTCCAAAGAACCAACACAGGTTGTGGTTGGGCATATGTGAAGAGAGAGTCCACCAAATTCACTGGATGAGCTTTTAAAGAAGCTACTGGACATTGCAGAATTAGATATGCCCTCAGAGGCACTACAGGATCAACCAAGAGACTTTGTAAAGCAAAGCTGGAAGCTGATACTTAATTGGGCCCAGAAAAAGACAGGGGCTTAGGGAGAAACTTAGTACAGTGGTGCCCCGCTTGACAATGATAATCTGTTCCAGGAAAATCGCTGTTAAATAAAATCGTCATCAAGCGAAAAAAAACCGTTGGAATTCATTGAAAACCAGTTAATGCGTTCCAATGGGGGAAATACCTTATCGTCCAGCAAAGATCCTCCATAGGGGAAGTCATTTTTGATCGCTGTCTTGTGAAAATAGGTCCGGAAAACAGCAGGGAGCCATTTTGCAAACCACCGATAAGCTGTTTTTAATTGTCATGTTGTGAACAATTGGTTCATGAAACAGGGACCTAATCATCGTAAAGTGAAAAAAAAAACCATAGGAACCATCATTTTGCAATCGTTATAGCGATCGCAAAAAACTCGTCGTCAAGCAATTTCGTTGTCAAGTGGGGCACCACTATATATAGTGAATTCAGTGCTCGACGGAATCCTCTTGAAGACATTTGAGGTCCAAACAACAATGAAATCTTCTGATCCATAGGAGAAGGAAAGATGTTTAGCTGGTAATTTTTCTTTTTGTCTTGTTTATTACATGTTAGATTGTTAATGTTTTTGAGTTTGTATGTTTTAATAATAATAATAATTTTTAAAACATTACTGGGCCTACATAGTTGTCAGGACAGCTGGACATAACGAGGGTCTTGCCCCCTGGGGCCGGACCATCCACTCATGTGTCTGCTGCTGGCTCCACTCTCCCTTCCAGTTGCTCTGGAACTCACAGTCATTTATCCTCTCATCAGCCTGGCAGGGAGACTCATATTTCCTCCTTCTGCCAGGAGTGGATAGCCGACCGCGAGTGCTGGAGCAGTTGGAAGGGAGAGCGGAGCTGATGGCAGCGGTGGACAGGTGAGTGGACTGTCTGGCCCCCTCATTACCTCCAGCTGTGTAGGGATATTTCTATACAATACCCCATCTCTAGTCAGGATCCAACTTTATCTGGATTACTGGGCATAAAGCTTTCTGTGATGTGCTATGGATCAACAATTGTCTGTTTTCAGGGAATTCTTCTATCATGCCCTTTGTTAAAAAATTAATAGAAATAATTCCAGACATACTGGCACCTATGACTTCATTCTCCATCAGAGAAGTTGAAGTTACCTGGGCATACCATCTAACTTTATACTAAATCAGAAGACATTTTTAGAGAGGTTTTAACAGAAGGGCTCAGGATAGACAATGGGCAAAATCTAGTAGATCTTGTTAAGTCAATACAGTGGTGCCTCGCTTGGGAACATTAATTCGTTCCAGCGAAATTGCTGTAGAGCGAAAACGTCGTAAAGCGAAATAAAAAAGCCCATTGAAATGCATTGAAAACCATTCAATGCATTCCAATGGGCTGAATAACTCACCATCCAGCGAAGGTCCTCCATAGGGGTGGCCATTTTGGTGCCTGTAAAGCGAGGAATCCGTCCAAAAACACAGTGGGGAGCCATTTTGATCAGCCGCCAGCCATTTTGAAACCCCGACGATCAGCTGTTTTGATTGTTGTAATGTGAGGAATCGGTTCCCGAAGCAGGGAACCGATCGTCGGAAAGCGAAAAAAGCCCATTAAAACATTGTTTTGCACTCGCAAAAACATTGTCGTAAAGCGGATTCATCGTTATACAGGGCAATCGTTAAGCGGGCACAACTGTAATTGATGTTCAAGTCCAATAGCTTCATTAGGTCTACTGTTTTGAGGCAAACAAATTACTAAAGTTTCTTTTTTTTTTAAGTACCTCTTTTGCAGTTATATAATGTCTTTTCTCTTCTTTTTTGTTTGTTTAAAATGACACAGATGACAGCCTGAGCAGCACAGAGGATTGGTTAATAAATATAACCATGACTATCCGTCCATCCAAAGCCACTGGTCTAATGTTTGCTTTGGTTTCTGATGAAACAGTGCCTCTTGCTTTATCAATAGTAGATTCCAGCTCACCAAACTTAAAGGTAGTCCTTTGCTCCTTATTATATGCTTGGTGGAGGGAGATAGTCTGATATTCAGCACCTCACTTGGATGCAAGGGGTAATTTGTTCTGAAAAGTGTGACTACTACTTTAGTCCTCACCTTTGCCATAGAAATCTGATCTGACTGAAATCCAATACCCTTCTCCCTGCAGAGGTGTAAAGCAGGATAATGGCTTGGGGGGCAGTTAAACATGTTTCCACATGTTGAATGGCCAGTTTGATTTTGAAAGGCATGAATTATCCTCTTTCACTGACAGTGGAATGTAAGAGTGGGTTCAAAGAGGCTGGCTCTGATACATGTTTTTCCTTTCTTGGTTGCGCTACTTCAGAATGCCTGTGAAGGGTTACTTGGATGAAGGTATTCTGGTGGAAATCTTCCGAGGAGATTATCTTCCTGAAACGCTAGCTTTCTCTGTGCAGAATTTTAATGGATGGGAAAATTAATCACCTTCAGTTTCTCCTCCATTCACATTTTTAAGCCACAAATCTTTCTTTCCCAAATATATGATTTGACAATTTTGCTAAACTTTTCAAAAATCAGCTAAAATGAAATACTCAACCTTCTGCACTGACTAAATTCAGTAGATACAACTGTTTTGAAATATGAAGAAATCTACAGTTTGGGTAAAGTTCATATAAAAAGGAACTGAGAAAAAATCCATATGCATTCTCACACAAAGTTCCCATGGACATTCCCATGGTTTTATTGACTCTTAAACTACTAACCTTGACATGCTTCACAGAGGTTGGCATTAACCATTCCTCTTGCCCTTAAGTGTGAAAATGAACAGGGCAGTCCATTCTCAAAGATGTGCCAGCTATAGTGGGTTTGGAACAAGCAGAGGTCTTCTATACCAAAACAACTACCTTTCTACAAGTACAATCCCTGTGTGCTGGCTGATCTCAGATCTAGCAGTTCAGCTAGATCTGCCAGCACAGCTGCTGAGATCATGTATTAGGAGAGCCCTGAAAGGGATGGAGAAGAGGTAGGGCAGGGAAGTTGCTGAGTTACATCAGAAGGCCAGGCTAACAGCCACTATCCTGGGTCAACATTAGGCCATGATCAGGGTAGTTCTGCATAACTTCCAACATCCCTAGGCTGGGAGAGAGTTGGATTCAGCATAGCCTTGACTAGCTTACGGTCAGCCCAGTCGACCCTCAGCCATCAGGCTGAATTGCACTCAGAAATACCACTTGCTACTACTTAGTAGCTTAGCCCTTTGGGTTGCCACAGGATAAGGAGAGCAGCCTCCTTTTTCTTTGTTTCCTGCCCCTTTAAGCCTAAACGGAGACATCAGCTTTGAGATGAGATTTTTTGTAGTGTGTTTTGACTAGCTTACGGTCAGCCCAGTCGACCCTCAGCCATCAGGCTGAATTGCACTCAGAAATACCACTTGCTACTACTTAGTAGCTTAGCCCTTTGGGTTGCCACAGGATAAGGAGAGCAGCCTCCTTTTTCTTTGTTTCCTGCCCCTTTAAGCCTAAACGGAGACATCAGCTTTGAGATGAGATTTTTTGTAGTGTGTTTATGGTGGCTTCTTTGTTTCCTGCCCCTTTAAGCCTAAATTGAGACATCAGCTTTGAGATGAGATTTTTTTTTCATGTATGGTGGCTCTCACTGACTTACACTTACATGGGATTAAGGGTTGTATCCATGGTTAGGGGGTCTCAGCTTTTTAGGCTCTATAAATTTTGTCTGTTTGAATGGTTTGTCTCAGTATTTTTGCTATAGTATCTTGTCAGCTGGAGACAGAATATACAATTGTTGTGAGGGTTACCTAAATTTGTGGTAGTGTTTTATCCTCTTGTTATTTATTAAATGTTGATAGAGTAGATATGTATGGAACTAATATTAATGAGTGATTTGTTCTAATGGGGTTGTTTCCCCTGCTCAGGTATTGAAATATCATTGATATGGTGTTGCAGCATTTAGGGTAACATTTTGATAGGGGCATGTATAGTTTTCCATATTGTTGGCTGTTGATAATATTGTGTGTGCTTTGGGTAGCTTCTTTGGGCTTTGCTATGGGTGGAAATCCTGAAGCTGAGGCTCCAATACTTTGGCCATCTCATGTGAAGAGAAGACTCCCTGGAAAAGACCCTGATGTTGGGAAAGTGTGAAGGCAAGAGGAGAAGGGGATGACAGAGGATGAGATGGTTGGACAGTGTCATTGAAGCTACCAACATGAATTTGAAGAAACTCCGGGAGGCAGTGGAAGACAGGAGGGCCTGGCGTGCTGTGGTCCATGGGGTCACAAAGAATTGGACACGACTTAATGACTAAACAACAACAACAATGGGTGGAAAAATACATTCCAGATATTGAAATGAAGCACCCTATTAATCTCTTACCTCTTCTTGTTTTTGATTCCCAGGATATCATAGTATCGATTGAGAATATCATCGTTGCCCGCTTGGATTCAAACAGGCTATGTACTTCAAGAAGAGTATTGGTAGAACTCAAAGTAACTAGGCAACTTCTTGAACTTAAAGTTGATTCACACTCACATACTACTTACTCGGAAGAGCAGCTCACAGTCCTTCATCAAGCGATGAATGGATCTGTTGATACCTACTTAGGTGGCATTCCTGGTAAATTGAATTATCTTTTATTCATTCAGTTGATGAGCCTAGTTAAGAAATTGGTCTCTTTAAAAAGTTGTATTTGATTTTATTTTAAAATATATGTGTGGATTTTCTAGTGAAATGTGGTATTTGAACAGCTGTTAAAGTTGCATTAGGCTAAGGATAATAGATGCATAGTTTATTCCAAAACATCCATTTTCTGACATGATACTAGGGAACCTGTGTTCCCTTCTCTTCTGCCCAATCTCTGTTTGCTTTTAGATTCTTAAGAGGCTTTAGGTTTTTTACATACCTTAAGTGTCCTCTACTGACAAGTCTGAGGAATTGCACCTGCAGTTCAACTAGATAATGATTTTTAAGGGATGTTCACTAGCACCCAAGTACAGATTCAGATTTGCCATTACAACCTTTCAGATTCAGAATGTGGAATTTAAAAAATTCAGAACTTCTGAATATCCAGAACTCTATTACAGTCAATATGTATACTTTATAGATATTATTTTCTCCTTTAAACCCCCCCCCCAAAAGCAGGCAAAACAATTTTAAAGGATTTCTTTGTATCCTCTCACAACTTCCCAGTGATTGCTCTGAACCAAAAGAATGCACACCAACAGCCAGCAGTGCCTAGGCATTAGGAAATGACCATATTGGGCATACTGCTTGAACCCCGAAGAGTAGAAATGCCAGCAGCATTGGGGAATCTGATGACAGGTCACACTGGGGAGTGGGCTAATGCCCTGGGCAGCCCTGGCAGGCAGATTGGAGCTGTAGAAAGCCTGTGGTGGGTGGGAATTCTGCCAACAGAATGAGGCAAAGCAGAGGTGAGTGAGTGAGCACAATCTATACAGATTCCTGTGCCCTGCCACTGATTTGTATCTTGGAAGGTTCTCGTGAAAATCAAGAAGCCATATTTCAGTTGAATATCAGGAAAAACATCCTAACCGTTAGAGCAGTATGACAATGGAACCAGTTACCTCAGGAGACGGTGACTGCTCCAACATGAGGTATTCAAAAGAAAACTAGGCAGCCGTCTGTCAGATATACTTTGATTTGGATTCCTCCATTGAGCAGGGAGTTGGGCTTGATAGCCTTATAGCCCCCTTGGACCTCCATTATGCTTTGTTTCCATGAAAATGGGACTCATGATAGCTGTATAAGGCCTTGTCTCAGATTAACAAAGAGAAAGATTTAAGGACAGATCAGGCAGTAGAGACAGTAGCAGTCAGTCCAGTAGCAAGCATGCAATCCAGGTACATCAGTTATGTCTGCAATATCTAGAATGTGATACTATCATTCTTCATCATTGTCAATGGAGGTCCTTCAAGTCATCACACAGAAAGACTTCCATTGACAGAAATGTGCTGGTGGAAAATGTTGGGAATGGAGGTCCTTCAAGTCATCACACAGAAGGACTTCCATTGACAGAAATGTGTCAGTATCATTTTCTCCCATCACCTGCCACCTTAGAGAGGTAGTCACATGTTTTAAGCAGGTTGAAAAAAGAAGAGAACAATGTTTCTGAACTTTGGCTCCCTGGTAGTCACATGTTTTAAGCAGGTTGAAAAAAAGAAGAGAATGTTTTTGGACTACAACTGGCCTGCACAGCTAATGGTAAATGCTGCTGGATAGCTCTGTGGTTTAGGCATCTGGCCGCAAAGCCAGAGGTTGGGAATTGAATTCCCCACTGTGCTTCTTTGACAGGAGCTAGACTCAGTGATCCATAAAGTCCCTTCCAGTTCTGCAGTTCTAAGATGACAATTGCAACTATGATGATTACACTTTGAGATCCAAGATTGGGAACCACTGGAATAGAGCAATTGGAGTAGCTGGACAAGGAGAGGAGAGTATAGCTCTTGCAGTGATTCTCTACTTGTGAAGTATCTCAGCAACAAAGCATGTCAAGAAAACTGAGTGTTGGGAAGTTTCAAAGCAATCAGTCAGGACAGTCCTGACCTTTAAATCAGAACACTTTAAGACCAGAGTGCCGCACATACAGAAAGCACTTCTGTTCTTTTACTGGTAGGGTGGGAATGAGGGAGAAGAAGCATTTCCCCTACATTCTTTGTTCTTTCTGTAAAAACTATTTTTCCCCCAGCACCACGAGCCCCAAAGGATATGTGTAGACCAGGTAGAAATTCCTGTCCCACAATCTGAAATCCAAAGCCTCCTTGACTCTACCAATGCCACAAGTTTGTCTCCCCACACCCCACCATGGGGGAGAGAGAAGAATAGTAGATCTTCCTATGGGTCAAGGAATGGCAAGAGATCTGAATCTGGGTCTTTTTCCTGGACTTTTTTGCAGCCTCTGCTTTAAAATTCATACTTTACCTTTGGTCCCAGGGAATGTTCTGTTAATTATAACTAAAGATTCTATCTTATCATGGTTTGTTGTTTTTTTCTCCTACTCTAAGTTTGTGATCATCCCAGTTTTTTAAAAAAGTATATATTTTAAATATTGATGGTACTAGTGGAATAGTTTATATATATACTGTCAAAAGGTATAGGTCAGCTCTCCAAGAATTATTATTGATTTTTTATGATGTTTTATGCAGATGTTCCAGTTGAGGCAACCCCAGTGACAGCATTTTATCATGGCTGCATGGAAGTGAAAATTAATGATAAGCAGCTGGATTTGGATGAAGCCATCTCCAAAAAAAATGACATCAGATCACATTCATGTCCATTGCTCATAGAAGAAATGCACAGTTCGGAAGCCACTGATGTCCCTTCTGTTCATTAATCTCTCATAGGAAAATCCAAATTGTTTTTGCACAAAATGGATAAAGACACGGAGATTGAACTATAAAAATGCTGTTTTGTAATTATCATTTTCCACTATAAAGGGACCATGCGAAGATTAAGCTGCTGTCAAAATAGTGTCATTTATAACATTTCAACATTTTTTAGTTGAATAGTTTACTTAACAACCGTACACTTCACATTTTATATTTTACGTATCTTTGACAATAAAACTACCCATACACTTGTACTCATTTTGATATCTTGGTTCTGATCTGTTGTGGTTGCAGAAAGAGGGCACTGAAGCAATGAATCAAGGTGCTCGATGTTTAGAAAGAAGAGCTTTATACAAAGATCCTATGGAAAGATACAGGTTTACACTGTTAGATGTTACCACCTATTCAGTGGCTACCCTGTCATACTATCTTACACCAGTGTTTCAAGAGCTTATGACTACAGACAGGCAACAGTGCCATAAATCTTTAGGGACACAGCATCGATGAGACAATCCTTGAAGAATGTTCAATAACTAAACAGTCATATTAAATGGATGAAATCTCACTCCCATAGCAAACATCAGCTACAGCCACCAAATTACAATTTCTACTGTCAAACACTTCATATAACCAACTAAGCTAAAAACATTACCTTTTATTATATATTTCAGCATGATATATACACAAAGAGGTGTATTTGACCTATTGGGCTAATTAAAAGTCTATTATTTCTTGTCTATGAAGGAATTCCATTATTATGCTTCAGCACTAGGATGATAATACAGTATTTGAAGATTATCATGGCATCACCTATTGGAGACCAGCATTGAGATTTGCCTGGTATTGTTTATATCTCCTCAACACATGACCTCTCTTTTAGTTAAGTATCTTCAGGCCAAGTCCAACTAGAAGACTTCCATACAGTTTGAAATTAGCACTGTGCTGTGAATGATAATAAGTCATGGTAATTACAACATTGACTACCAGTAGGATTTACAATACATACTGGATAATGTTCATGAACTGATCCTAGACACACTCATTCCATAAAAATCAGCAAGCCTTTTAGAGGAATAAATATGTTTAGGATTATAATACCAGAACTACATGATCTGGCACTATCATTCGAAATGGATATCTAACATTTCAAATGGAAATTGCTCAAGAATCGTGTCCCAGCTTTAGAAATCTACCCAAACCACTTTAAACATTTGAACCTAACTACATATACTTAGATCAAGGACTGAACTTTGGCCAAGAAAAATCACTTCCAAGGGAGTGTGCGCACAATCACGGTTGTGAAAAGAAGGCCTCAAGCTAGCTAATACCTTGATCTTAAAGCACAGACAGTTTTATTTCATGTTATGCATGTTGCAATTTTCACGATTCCGGTAAGTATCCTCTCATTTTTTCAAGTCAAAACCATAACCCATGCATAAGATATATGCGAAGATGCAGAGATTCTGCTGCATAGTTCTTTGTAGAAGCTTGATGCATTAAACCAGTCTAAGTGCTTTGACAGTTTGACACAGAGGTGCCAGGGAAAATCCTAAACAGGCAGAGATAAATGGAGTGGCAAGTGGTGTGTACGTGTCTTCACATTTTGTGGATTTCTCTAGAGTTTTCCAGGACTGGAATGAATCGTACACAACTCATAGGAAAGATCTACTTTGCTAATCTGTGGCATCAGCAACCTTTTCCAAACCGCAGACCGGTTGGGGGAGCGGGGTCCATATGTGGGGAGGTGGGGCACCCCCCACACTCGTGGATGGGCGGAGTGTGCTTGCAGATGGGCAGGGCACGCTTTCAAGCGTGTGGGTACACAAGGCACCTGTGTGTGTAGGTGGGCAGGCTGGGCATGCATGGGGGAGTGCATGAAGGTGGGGTGGGAGATCTGTCTCCTTAGACCAGTCCTGCCAGCTCACAGACTGGCACCAGGCTGCAGACCGGGGGTTGGGGGACCCCTGCACTATACCACACTGGGAATTAGTGGCAATCCACTATAGCAGTTTATGCTGCTGCACATGCATCTGCATAAAAAAGTAATGGAATATTTACTAAACCAATTTTAACAATTCTGTTTCATTGCCTTATGGATATTTGGTATAATGTAAAAATACATTTACAAAAGTGTCAATTCTGTTCTACCTTAAAGAATAATAATAAAGGAGATTCTACCTTTTTCCTCTATTGTCCTTGATATTAGACATAGGGATGAATATAAAAATGAATAGGGATCTTCAAGAAATATCTCTGATTTGTCAGATATTCGTTGCTTCGTATTCTGGGTCCAGAGGCCCCGACGAATACGAAGCAACGTATATAACCCATTTATATTCACCCCTTTGTTTCACATCTGCTTTTCCTCAGGGGCATAAGCAGAGAGGGGTTTTCCTTTTGAGTAGCTTGCTACAGCCTGTCTGAAGGGAATCCCACCCCTGGGGCTGGCGGATGGCCCCACGGCATCAGAAGAGGAGGAAAAGGGGGATTAAAGGGATTCCCCAGCCCCGCTGCCTTTCCAAAGACAGTCGGGCTGGGGGATCACTTTGATCCCGCTTTGATCCCTTCTCTCCTCTTCCTATGCTGCACAGCATAGGATGGCTGTGGGGGCTGGGGCTTTTTGTTTTTTATTGTTTTTTAGATAGTCACACAGTCTGTCTAAAAAAAATGACCTGAAGAATTGATTAATTGATTCGTTGTTTGTCGGGCAGCTGGAGGGTCAATTCATGGTGCTTTGACCAGATCTCTGCTTGATATTGTTAATAATGATGTTTTTTAAAAAAATCATAGGGCCCTCCATATACAAGATGTTTGACAAAGAATGAGAGGGTAATACCATTCTAACCAGTCAAGAAATAGGTGGCTCTATCTTTTGCCTGCAGTCTGGAATAAAGATGTCACTTTGATAGAAAAGCATGTGTTAGCCCAAACTGGTGGTTGGAATTCTAGTATAAGTATCCCTACCAGGGGGGCTTTTTAACAGTTGCACTATGAATTCTTTACAATACACAGCTGAGGAATATTAACTGAGAACCATGCAGTTTACAGGGAAAGAGATGAACAGCTGCTAAAGGACTTCACTATAAGTTCATATGAGTACATTCAGCACTGCATGACTTGTTGCATCTTTTTACTGTGACTAGTTTTCTAGTGGCAGATAGGAAGATGCGGTCATAGGCCACAGCTTCTTCATTCTTGTTATAAAAGATTAAGTGTAATGGCTGAAATCCTATTGCAGAGTTCTGCAAAAGGAAGCGAATTACCTCCAGTTAAGAAATATCCAGTCATGTGACTTGGCGTGCAACAGGTAATACCTACAGAGATTTCTTAACTTATAGCAATTTGTTTCCAAAAGTTTGGTCTTTTATGTAACTATGCAACAGGATTTCAGCCCATGCATGGCTAAAAGGTGGTGTGGGTGGGAGTGACTGACTAGCTTTAACCAAATTATTGTGTCAATCTAACCCATCAGGGTTGTTGTGGTGATGGAAAACACACCAGTTTCTACTCTTTAGAGAAAAACGGGGGCTACTCTTACTTCTGTCTGTCTAGCTCTGTGTCCTCCTCAGTTTTCTCTACAGAAAAGGAATAATAATGAATCACAATCATTATGCAGTAACAATGCAACTCTATACATGTCTGAGAACAAGAGTGGATGATAACTTTTATTAGACCATTGAAATCACACAGAGAAGTTTTTGAGTCATGCAGGACTCTACATCAAGCTAGGCATTACGGAACTGGAGGGCTGTAGAACAAATGCAACAATTTCCAAAATCATCTAGGCCAGATGCTGTTTCTCTTGCCAATTCCAAAATGGAGTCTCCATCTTTATTAGATCAGCTTGAGGAAGTAGGTTATAGATTCTGTCTCAGGTGATACCGATTTCATTTTCTTTTTCTGAGAAGTCAAAGGGCTGCCAGTCACTCAGCATCCTCCTGTTTTTCTATGCTACTCACAACAGGCATACTACAGTTACGTATAAGATGACAGCCTGAAAGTTGATATGTAAGTTGTTATTAAACATGTAAGAGAGTTATAAGATGTGAGAGAGAGAGAGAGAAGCATATTTTTCATATGCTTCTGCATTTTAAATTCGATGCTGTGCAACTGGAAACCAGAAGATGGAGCTGAATGACTGCAAGAATTCAGCACAAATAAAATTAATCACTTAAGAATAATTTTTCTAAGTACCAGAATCTTTCATCCAGGCAAGTACTATATTTTTAAAACAGAAAGAACCCACAAGTCCATGTAATCCAGTATTTCATATTACAGTATAGTTCTTTGGATTTCCAGAATCAGTGAGTTTAAACTAATCATTTTACTTCCTTGCCTTTTAGACCCCAGTCCACCAGAAAAATGTCCTGTTCAAGTTCCCTCACTGGGCAAAAATGCCCAGTTGTGAAGCTTTCATTTCACTGACGCTTGTGGATTGTGCCCATATTTATTCCTTGATGTTAAGAAGGTGTTTATTGGTATTGATTTGACAGGTAAACATGCTTCCACAATGTGTCTTCTGCTTACTGTTTACTTTTATGCTTTTAATTAGCCTAGTTTGAAGTAGTACATTTTAAATACATATTGCAAAAATTAGATGCCCTTTGAACATAGTGGCTAAAATCCTGTTGTGTACCACATACCACCATAATCCAGATTGGGCACTAGAAACAAATTTAACAGATTCAATCTAATTAAACATCTCTGGGACCTCTCCCTTTAGGTTCTGAGGCTCCCTAGTGTTCCCTTTTACCCTAGGGAAGCATTTGGGAGCCTTAGGCTATGGGGAAGCAGGGGTTTATAATAGTACAAAAAATCATTACTGGATTGACTTTTAAAGGCTCCCAAGGATCTCAAAAGCTTCCCAGGACAAAAAAGAGCTTTAGGGAGCATTGGAACTTAAAAAGGGGAAATAGGAAGCTTTTAATTAGTTATAATCAAATGTTTCCGGCACCTAATCCAGATTACACCAACAGGATTTTGCCCAGTGTTTGAAATACTGTTGCTTAGCCTAGTAAATCACAACTAGAAAAGATCCATTGAATCAATGGAATTTATGGAGGAGTCAATGCCCCAAATCTACATTGATTCAATGATCCTACCCTAGTTGTGGCTTATTATACTAAATAACAGGATTTCAGAGAGTGGTTGTGAGAAAACATGCCTAGGAATGTGCTGTTATTGGTTGGTTGGTTGATTGATTTGATTTGATTTGATTTGATTTGATTGGTACCCCACCCATCTGGTCTATAAGATCAC